GGCACTATGGGGCAATTTAGCACGGCCAATCCACCCAAACCTGCACATCCCTGGGCACTATGGGGCAATTTAGCACGGCCAATCCACCCTAACCCGCACATCCCTGGGCACTATGGGGCAATTTAGCACAGCCAATCCACCCTAACCTGCACACCTTTGGACTGTGGGAGGAAACCAGAGCACCCGGAGGAAACCCACACAGACACAGGGAGAATGTGCAAACTCCACACAGACAGTTGCCTGAGGCTGCAATCAAACCTGGGCCCATGCCACTGTGAGGCAGCAGTGCTAACCACTGAGACATTATGCTGCCCTCTTAAATGTATCTAAAGAACTGGGCGCCAACACCTTTAAGTGGCAGAGAATTCCACATGTTGAGTGAAGAAATTCTTCCTCATCTCAGTCCTGAATGGCTTACCCTTTATTCATAGACCGTGACCCCTAGTTGTGGACTTGCGCGACATTTTGTTCCTTTCCACCTTCTTTGTGTGCATTGAGTGTGTGTCACAATCTCCGCGTTCCCTGATCTTATCAAGTATTTTGGGGAGTTTTCAGGGACCCGTTGATTTTGAAAGTTGTTTCTGACTCACCCTGTTCCTTTTCGCACGCAGACAAACGGCCGTGGGACTTGTGAGTACGATGGCTCAGACTGGATCGATGGTAGCACCCATCGTAAGGTTGACAGGTGATTACGTCCTGTTTCTGCCGCTGGTTGTATATGGTGGAATGGCTATAGCAGCCAGAGTTGCTGCCCTTTTCTTAACGGAAACACTGAACATGACTTTACTCGACACCATTCAGGAAGTGGAAAGCAGGTTTGTAGTTCAGATAAACAGCCCAGAATCAACATTCAATGCGGTTTTATAATACTTTGGATCATTGCCTCGCATCTGAATCGAAGATACCTATTATATTCTCCAAGAGGACACAAAAAAAAACACGAGTTGTAGGGAAAGCTCAGCAGATCTGGCAGCATCTGTGGAGAGAGAAAGTCAGAGTTAACGTTTCGGGTCCGGTGACCATTCCTCAGAACTGATGATTGCTGGGAAAATGCCAGTTTAGATGCAGAAGGTAGGGTAGGGGGGAGGGAGTAAGGAATAAACGATAGGTGGGGCTAGAGCCCAAAGACAGAGAAGATCAGTTGGACAGACAAAGGAGTGGATAACGATCTGGCTAGGAGGGTGAATTGCTATTAATGGGACTGTTAATGGCGAACAATGGATTGTGTGTAATAGCAGACAATGTGATGATAAGCCTGATGTGTAGGGGTTGGGGTAAGAACATGGGAGAGAACAAGCCCTGAAGTTATTGAACTCAGTATTGAGGCCGGAAGGCTGCAGGGTCCCCAAGCGGAAAATGAGGTGTTGTTCTTCCAGCTTGCACTGAGCTTCGTTGGAGCACTACAGCCAGAACATTTATTCAGCAGTTTAATCTTTTCTTTCTTTTCTAACTTTAAGTGCCTGGTCTCCAGCTGGCAATTTGTCACAGCAGCGTAATAGCAATGTCAGTGGAAAATTGTAAGATACAATTTAATTAGGCTCACTCCTTGGAGTTGAATGTGTTCAATCTTCAGAATACACCTCAAGCTACTGCTGCACAACATACTGTGTCCAGTTCTGTTCACCCAGTTATAGAAAGGATGTTATTAAGCTGGAGAGGGTTCAGAAGAGATTTACCAGGATGTTGCTGGGAATGGAGGGTTTGAGTTATAAAGAAAGGGATGGATAGGCTGGGACTTTTTTCACTGGAGCGTAGGAGGTTAAGGGGTGACCTTATAGAGGTTTATAAAATCATGAGGGATAGAAATAAGGTGAATGGCAGGTGTCTTTTCCCCAAAGTGGGAGATTTCAAGACTAGGGGCCATATTTTTAAGGTGAGAGGAGAAAGATTTTAAAAGGACATGAGGGGCATTTTTTTATATACATAGAGCGGTGCGTGTGTGGAATGAACTTCCAGAGGAAGTGGTGGATGCGGATACAGTTACAACGTTTAAAAGACATTTGGATAAGTACATGAATAAGAAATGTTTGGAGGGATATGGGCCAGGAGCAGGCAGGTGGGACTAGTTGGGGATTAGGTTTGGCATGACTCTATGGCAGCAATACATAAAGCCTTACTTAGAAACTAGCCCATGGATCGCCACAGTAATTACTCGTCACTATTTCTCACTCAGAAATCAACAAGAAGGGGTCAATATACAGCACAGGTATTGTGGGTAAATTACCACAAGGTCACCTTTAATATGGCTACTTATTAAGAAATCTCACAATCAACTGGTGATTTGAACAATGATTTAAACTTTATTGCACATAGCAACCAAAATGAGAGCCCTCAACTCAGCAAGTCAAGCCTCACAACTCAACTTGGCTGTTAGCTGATAAATGGTGAAATTTAGCTGAGATTTCACCAACAGTGTCCATCTCTGGAAAAGTCCAAGGTTCAATTCTTACGCAAGTTGTTCTTCAAAGTTCTGGACTGAATTGTTCTGGTGTTGGATTCGTATACAATTTTCTCTCTTTCAAGTTTGCAGTATGAGGTCAATGATGATTCAATAGATTCTTTCATTCCCAGTATTGATTAGACTGCTGGAGATCTCAAATCTGCAGCTTGCCATTTTCTCAGAAGTAGCTCCCCTGTTCCTTGATACATTCGGAGTTAGCTGTCTGTTTAAAACACAGCTTTTTTCAGCTATTAATCCCATTACTTTGGGACTGCGGGATCGTGTTCAATAACAACCAAGATCAGCGAGTGGTGAAAATAGCCTCTTTATTGAACATCCGCAGTGGCACAGTTTGAGGCACTGATGGAATCCAAATTTCAGTTTTGCAGCAGCTTCCTTTATACACAGTTTTAAAATTTTAGCACTATGGTGTCACACAGTTGTACCTATTGTCCGAAAGTTTGCGTGACATCTGTCTTGGCGGAAACAGGAGTTAGTTTAAGCATTTGTTAAATGTTGGCTGACGGGATTAGAATGTCTGTCCAGTCTGAGCTTGCATAATTAACAGGTGGTATTCCTTTTGTCTTTAAAGTTAGCAATGTTAGTAGAAATACTAGACCTATATGATCTAAATAAGTGAGAAATTATGTTTGTACTAAATAATAAAGTATGGAGGATATTAAACTGATTTCCTGCAGCTGGGTCATCAGGTTTCAATTACTGTTGCCCATCTTTGACAGTTCTTACAAATTCATTCATGAAGTTTCATGGAAGCGCTGTTTTGATAGTAAGTTTCTTAAAGGGGCTGGCAGTCCTTTTTAATGTGTACTTAAAAAGTATAATTCCATATGTTAGTGCAAGATGGTAGTCCTAAATAAGTCAGAAATTGGATTTACGGTGTTATAGAAATAGGTAGTGTATAAGGAAATTTCAAAGAGATAAAAACCAAGCAGACCGTAGGGACATGCTGGTGGAGGAAACTGTTTGATGTCCTGCAGCCTATTTAGGTCCTGAGAGATGCTTACTAAGGGCTAACAAATATTTATAATCTTTCCATAGTTTCAAGTCAGTTATGGAGACACGATGGTGGGGATGGCACTGTTCTGAGTAGGTTACGGTATTAACACCTATTCAGGGGTAGCCTCTGATACAGAAACAGGTCTAAACACTTCTTGCAGCATGAGGCTGATAAGAATTGAAAGGTGTAAAGAAACAGTAATGGGTTGGCAGCCTAGGAAGGGTTGTTTAATTTAGTTTATCTTGTAAGAGTAAAATGTACGGCAAAAACACAGTTTTATGAATGAATGAACGGAAATATGGTATAGTGAACATAGAGCGCTTGTGAGTGAATTAGTAAAGTCAATCATAACACAATATCTCACAAGACATTGCTGCTGCATTGTACTTAATGGTGAGGTCCTGGGGAGTGTTGCCAAGCAAACAGACCTTTGGGTGCAGGTTCGTAGTTACTTGAAAGTGCCGTCGCAGGTAGACAGGGCAGTGAAGAAGGTGTTTGATACACTTGGCTTTATTGGACAGTGCATTGAGTATAGGAGTTGGGAGGGTCATGTTGTGGCTGTACAGGGCGTTGGTTAGGCCTCTTTTGAAATACTGCATTCAAATCCAAGTCTCACAAATGTAGGAGATATGCTGTGAAACTTGAAACGGTGCAGAAAAGATTTACAAGGATATTGCCAGATTTGGAGGGTTTGAGCTATAGAGAGAGGCTGAATAGGCTAGGGCTATTTTCTCTGCAGCATCGTTTTCCCAGGGTAGGAGGGGAGTCCAAAACTAGAGGGGTATAGGTTTAAGGTGAGAGGGAAAAACAATTAAAAGGGACCTAAGAGGCAACTTTTTCACACAGAGGGTGGTGCGTGTATGGAATGGGCTGCCAGAGGAAGTGGTGGAGGCTGGTACAATTACAACATTTAAAAGGCATCTGGATGGGTACATGGATAGGAAGGGTTTAGAGAGATAGGGGCCAAACTATGGCAAATGGGTCTAGATTAATTTAGGATACCTGGTCGGCATGGGTGAGTTGGAGTGAAGAGTCTGTTTCCATGCTGTGCATCTCTATGGCTTTACCTTTCATCTCAATGTGATAAAGGATTCACCATCTGTAGCTAACTAAGGAAGTTAACAGTGGTGCTGAACTGAAAGAAAAGGTTAACAATGCTGCAAAGATTGGTGGGAGGCCAGAAGATTGAGCAACAAGTAGAATGCACCAAAGGATGACTAAAAATAGGGAGACATTAGAATATGAGAGTAAACTAGCAAGAAATATAAAAACTAACAATAAGAGCTTCTGCAAGAATATAAAAAGGAAGAGAGTAGCTCAAGTAAACATTAAATCCTTAGAGGATGAAACTGTGAATTAATCATAGAACCCCTACAGTGTGGAAGCAGGCCATTCAGCCCATCGAGTCCACACTGACCCTCCGCAGAGCATCCCACCCAGACCAAACCTACCCTATCATTGTAACCGTGCATTTCCCAAGGCTAGTCCACCTAGCCTGCATATCCCTGGACACTATGGGGCAATTTTCTATCGCCAATCTACCAGTGTGATGGGAAACCAGAGCACCCAGACGAAACCCACAAAGATGTGGGGAGAACATGCAAACTACACACAGGCAGCCACCCGTGGGTGGAATTGCCCCAGGGTCCCTGGCACTGTGAGGCAGCAGAATCATGGGAATGAGGAAATCGCAGAGACTTTGAACAAGTCTTCTGTATCTGTCCTCATGGCAGCAAACAAAAATAAAACGTGACAAGAACAGTAGAAAATCAAACAGAAAATGGAAAGAGAAATTTAAGTCAATTACTATCCCTAGGGAAAAAGTGGCGAAGAACCTCAGGAGAAGGTCTGACAAGCCCCGGAACATGATGACCTGCACGCTCAAGTCTTAAAATAACCGGATACAGATATAGTGACTGCAGCGGTTGCCATCTTAGAATTCCCTACATTATAGAAAAGTCCCAGTGGACTGAAAAAAAAATGTGTTACACCCCTAATTTAAGAAAGGAGGAAGACAGAGAGCAGGAAACAACAGACCAGCTGGGCTAAAATTTGTCACTGGGAAAATGCTTTCATTATTAACTAAGTAGTAGAGGGACACTCAGAAGATCACAATACAATAAAACGGAATCAAGACAGTTCTGTGGAAAAGGAATTTGGATGGATAAAAGAGGTTTAGTAGGTGCAATGCATTTTGGATTTGCAAATGGCGCTCAAAGGGATGTCCCATAAAATGCTTTTACACAAGATAAGAGCTCATGGTTTTGGGAGGTGCCAATCTCCTTCTAAACTGCCCTTACACACGCATGCACGCACACACACACACACACACACTCATACACTCACTCACACACATTCACTCACTCATACACACACTCACTCACATACATATTGACACACACATACGCACTCACACACACATATACTCACACAAAGACACTCACAGACACACACACAGAAAGTATGTTATTGGACTGGGGGAAAAGTTGGAAGTACAGTTCAATACTGTTTATTCCCAGATTTTGTGGTTGAGATGCTCCTTATCGTTCTTCTGCTGGCCAGCACATTACTTCAGTTGTCTTTCTCCAGATGCTCCCACCACTCGCTAAGATACAAAAGGCTCACTGATAACAAGCCTCTGACTTACCAGTTTAAACTGCATAGCTTACAACTGCTGCAGGAAAGATAAACTGGTTTACTTCAGGTTTAAAATTAGTTTTGACTGCAGAGAACAGAGACACCGCTTCTGAGTTGGGGAAGAACTGAACAACCACCACACCCCTCTCCCTTCTCTAACTTGCTCCCAGCTCCAAACCATTCTGTTACCCCAAGAACCAATCATAGAGTTGTTGGCAGACAAAAGGTCTATGTCATCAATAACTGGTCACTTAGTGCACAGACTTCCTGTTGTCAACAAAAGTTGCAACTGTACACCTCTTTGGCTCCAAACTGACTGTAATTCAAACTTTAATTACTGTTTGTTCAAATAAATGTTTGCCATGGGTATCAGATGACATGTTTTTCAAAACTGCAGTTACTTACCCTTTCAAATACTAGATGTAAAACAGCTCTTTTTCAATTCAGTTCACTGCTTTTAATAAAAAGACACAAAATAAAGATACAGTCCTTGCATAACCCCTGATGGGAAGTTTGTGGGATTTTGGATGACTAGAGACATAAGACTTTGCCTGAATGTTTTGCTGGAGTGTGACGATGCTGCGGCTTTAACAAGTGTGTTTTGTCCAGTTTCTTTTAGAGAGAGAGATTGGGGGAACGGAACAGAGCAGTCTGTGAGAGGACAAACAATTTGAGACACATTGGGTTTTTTTTTAAAGTTGGAACAATATAGAAGCAGCCTGAGTGTGTGTGGACAAACTCTCACAGATCCAGGGTTCTTAGTTAGCTCTCAGCAGTTGTTGCTGGGGCCTAAGCAGGGTTGGAAGACAGTGAAACTCATCCGGCTGCTACACTCTTTGTACAAATTGTCTTTTGACGTTCTTTCCTCCTGGATTGGAGAACTGTGTGTGAGACAAATCTGTTTTCTGAATTAGCCTTTTGCAATGGATGTGTTCATGGGATGTTACAATATTGGAACAGTTACTGTTTAGCAGTAAAATAATCTATTATTCTGTTAAGTTTTTCAATAGAGTTAAGTTATTCCGAGTACCTCTTTCTTCTGTTATATTTTAATTATTGCCATAGAGTTAAAAAGCATGGAAACAGACCCTTTGGTCCAACCAGTCCATGCCAAACATAATCCCAAACTAAACTAGTCCCACCTGCCTGCTCCTGGCCCACATCCCTCCAAACCTTTCCTATTCGTGTAGTTATTTAAATGTCTTTTAAACGTTGTAATTGTACCCACATCCACCACTTCCTCAGGAAGTTCATTCAACTCTCTGTGTAAAAGATTTTCTCCCTCATATCTTTTCTAAATCTCTCTCCTCTCACCTTAAAAATGTGCCCCCGGTTCAAGACCATCCTCGGGAAAAAGACATCTTTTGAATAAGTCGACAAAACGTGGAAGGATGATGAAAGGTCCAGACCTGAAACGTCGACTTTCCTGCTCCTCTGATGCTGCCTGACCTGCTGTGTTCCTCCAGCTCCACATTTTATCGACTGACTTCCAGTATCTACAGTCCTTACTATCACCTTTTGAATAAGTTGTTTTCCTTAACGTTGAGTAGTTTGACCAATCAAGTTGCATCTGGAACACAGCACCTTGCATGTACCTTTTGAAATAAGAAAAAGTTAGGATCTAGGCTACCTTCTTAATATATTTTGGGGGGATCTGGTCTGGGTCCATAACAACAGCCTTAATCTTTTAGCTATGTGAACACATTAAGAAAGTGCAAGGGAAGAAAACTAGGTAGAGAGAGAGAAGTTATACGTTTCTGAATCACTGTCCATTCTGTGGTGTATTTACTTTCAGAGCAAAACAAGGTGTTGGAAAAGACAAGGAGTCGAAGAGGGATGAGATTCCATTGCAGGAGAAACACGCATCACTGATGAATAAGACTGTTTAAACCAATAAATCAAACTATCAACACATCATCTGATTCCGCGCAGCAACACAATGGGGCACCCTCTTTCGTAGATCTCCAGCTGGACACATAACACCATATCATGTATCCTGCAATGATTTTGAGAACAGATACTGTAATGTTATATGACACACTTCCTTCATCCGATTCTTATTATGTCACTTTAGATTGGCCAACCATGCTAAGGCTGCAGTCACAAATACTCTTTTATGATCCCAGCTGATGGTAATATAGAACCAGTCAGATCCCAGATTGAAAACTGGCTCAACAGACCATCAGTTTTATTTTTGCAATGTGAATACCCTGGTGGTCAGTCATTGAACCTATTCAAATGTATTCACAGTACAATAAAGCAAGTTTATAATACAGAAGAAAAGAAAAAGCAAGGCTATATATATATCATATATCTTTTTAAAACAACTTTGAAAGACCTTATCAGGAACAAAAACAGAAGTTGCTAGAAAAGCTCAGCAGGTCTGGCAGCATCTGTGAAGGGAAAAACAGAGTTAACGTTTCGGGTCCAGTGATCTTATCCCAGGTTCAATTCCACCCTCGGGAGACTGTCTGTGTGGAGTTGGCATATTCTCCTTGTGTCTGTGTGAGTTTCCTCCGGGTGCTCTGGTTTCCTCCCACAGTCCAAAGATGTGCAGGTTAGGGTGGATTGGCCGTGCTAAATTGCCCCATAGTGTCCAGGGATGTGCAGGTTAGGGTGGATTGGCCG